GCACTTTTTCAAGACTTAGCCTCAAAACCAATTTCAGAGAGAAAGCAAAATATTGTTTCTTCTTGATAAAATATGAGAAAGGATTTTAATATTCCTCTGGCCTTCCTGCTTTTGGCTGATTCATTGTTGTCGACAGACAGGTTTATAAGCAATGAAGAGCAATGGTAAGTTTATTCAGAGCAGAGTTTATTAGCCAAACTAATCCTGAAGCTTTGGAGGAATTAATGCAGGGATTCAGAAAGGATATTAAAAGACTCTTTTTATGAGCACTAATCAAAATATTTCTGAAGACCAGAAATCTAGGCATTTTCTTAAGACAATGAAACAGATAAAGCAAAACTTACCTTCATATATCTTAACACAGAGGCTTTCCCAGAAACGCTTAAAATGCTTAAAATTCTGGCTAACCCAGAAGTGAATTGCACTGGGAAGAAACTAACTTAATTTCATGTTTGGCAAATTCTTTTACTAATAATCATTTTAATTAATTATAATAATATTCTAAAATATTTTAAAATACAAAATGGACTTCTGTTTTAAATTTTATATATTTTGCTTCCATATTTTGAAGACAGCTCATATTAACTTCAGGAAGAAGCATGTCTTCACAATCATACTAAATGTCTAAATTTAAATTTAAAAATCTAAATTCTATTTTTTGGTGTATCCATAGGTTCAGAATCAAACAATGAACATGTAACTAAAAATAAAAGTAATATTTCTATTTGTTCCAGAGCCAACCTTTTCTTAATAGGTAGCATAGGTAGGATTGCTACAAAAACAGTGACTTTAAATTACATATCTGATTCTGGAGAATCTGGGTCCATATATGTTTTAGCAATTGCCAAATTCAAAATACATATGGTTCCACCACATTGTTCACCATACTTCATGAGCAGATCCATTTTAATTGCAGTTATTTCTTCTCTTTTCTTGCCTTGCTGTAACAAACACTTTGTTCTCTCTCTTTCAGTGATTAAAAAGAAATGGGAAAAAAGTAGAGAAACCAAAGTCTGTATCTCAAGTGACAATCATTTCCAAAGCAGCTCATGAGTGTCTTATAAGAAATGCCTCCATTTACACTAATAATTTCCTGAAGATATTTGTTTGCAATGAACCAATATGTAACACCCGAATGAAGAATTATGGTCCACTTAAAAAAACAGTATTTTTAATCAAATAACTTTCTTTCAAAACTGAGTACAAAATCATAAATTGACCAAATATATAAATCTAAATTTTCAAAAGCATATAAAATTTAACTCCCTTAATAGCCTAAATACATTTTTAATTAATTTTAGATGCTTAAATGTCATTGACTATGAATTACCAAATATTTTAGTCCTGAAAAAGGCAATATGAGGTAAAAAAACCTGCTGTGGAGCAACACATATTTTTTGAACCCAAATACCTTTAAGATTCAAGCTACTTGTAAAACACCTCCTTTGAAAATGTGAAAAAAGTGAACTCAGCCCAACCCAGTAAAAAAATGGTCTGAAGGAATTGTCAGTTTTTCTCCTCTACAGCATTAAACACAAGATACATTTTGTTTTGAAGTGCTTTCTTTCTCTGTGAAGGACACAGCTATACTCTGTTCTATATAACAATATGAGGAAAGAAACAAAATTATTTCTGCATGTAATCCAGATAAATGTTGGTCCAGATTTGTAAAGACACACATTAAATACAAAGTCAACTTACTGAGTCTTTGATTTCAACAAGAATGTGTTACCTGGACCCTGCCTCTAGTGTAGTAGTTAGAGCAGCAGCTGGGATATAGGAAAACCTTATTTAAATTCATGCTAATGTATTGTTAGAAGAGATGGAATAATAAGGGTTATTTATACTGTTTAGGAAGAAAACAGAAGTGCAGTTGAATCGTGAGCTCTACTCTCACTTTAAGTAATCTAAGATGTTTATTCAATTGTAATTATTACTCTTGAACTGGAAAAATCCTGATTTTCAGAGAAAGGAAAACTTACTTCAGGTCAAATTATGAGATGTCTGTTTCCTAGCTGAGATTTTTCTAGAGGAAAGCATAGTCTCCAGACATACCAGAGGTTCAAGAGGGTGCCTTTTCAAGCCAGAAGACCTACCTGTAATATTGTCTTAATAGCTAGGAGGAAGCAAAGTAGAGAGAAAAAGAGAGATACTTCCACAGATTCCTTTGACAGGAATTTTCTAACTTTATTACCTAAAAGTCAGCTCCCTAAATGTCAGCTAGTCCTCTGGGCTCCTTTATAGCTGAAGGAGAGAAAGAGGCATCTCTAGGAGGCAATTCATCTCAACCTAAAGTAGATATCTAAGACAGGTTCGATGAATCACTAGCTCATTTCTTTCTTATCCTATGGCTATGAAGAAAATATGACAAGTAACTTTTCGACGTCTGACTTTGTCAAGATGAATTCTGACTTAGTGTCATTTTTCACTCCACTCTGAAATGTCGCTTGTGGATTTTCTATGCCTTTGTGGTCTTTGTGACCTGGTTCCCTTTCTTGCCAAGCTTTGTGATGCCTGACCTGACCCCACTCACTGACATGAGCCAAAGCCCACTGGAAGATCCTCTTTTCTGTGAACGATCTTTGGATCAGACCTTAAGGGAAAATCAATATGAGGGCAAAGGCACTTATCAAGATTATGACAGAACAGCAAAACGTTTTAGTCCAGTCATTGCAGGAAAAGTTCTCCTTTGAATCTTTAAGACAGGGCCAATGTATAGCTTATCCCACTTCAGCAGTTTTCTAGCAGTTTTTGACTTCATATCTTGTGCTGCCATGCATAACCTGATAAACTGCATCAAAATTGCTCCATACGGTTGTCATTCACTTCTGGCCAGTAGAAAGGCCAAAGAAATGTGCAAGACTCACTCAGAATACTGTATTGCAAGAGTTTTTCTGCAATAGTCTGATGAAAAATGAACTTTCAACCTGAATTCTAGAATTCCTTCTGTTCTGGAATTCATCAGAAGTTAATAGATTTGGGTAATACATTAAAATGTTGCTGTTAACAGATGTTCATGTTTGTCACTGAGGTGAAATCACATGACTAATTTAGTGATTTTTGCCCTCTTCTGACAAGAGGACCAGTTCACCACAGTCAGCTATTTCCAGTATCATACAGCAGTACACAAATAAAGCAATCATCCTGAGGCTGCATTCAGTGACAATGTATGAAAACTCAAATTTTCCACGGCAAGAGCAATGGCAAGGATTTCTTACTGAAATCAGAAATAGTTTGTGTTGTGCTTCAAAATATCTTGTATCATTCAAAATTATGGGGAAGAGAAGCGAGAGGCTAAAATGATCCTGAAAACATGTCATTAGCAGAAAGAAGCTGTCAATCATGGTAATGTATTGAAAGACAAAAATTGCAAAAAAAAAAAAGAAATATCTTGACTTGAGAGCATCCATTCTCTCCTCACATATGATAAAACGTTGTCATACAGACAACTTTCTTATTTCCATATATTAACAGAATTCTAACTGGAAGACAGTTCTTATCAGAATACAAACCTGAAATATGGAAACATCTTTGTTATTGGGTAAAGATGGGTAAGCAATTAAATCCTAAAAAGCCATGGAAGCCTACCCGAGAGCTTCCAATTCTGCGGATACAAAAGGGTAAGAATAAGAATAAAAAGCAGCATTGCACTTGAATTTTCAAAAATCTACCATGTCAACAATAATAGCAATTTTGTGAAGAAAACCTATTCACAATTTAACATCATTTCTATGCATATTGAAGGAAAACAATTCACACTTTTAGTTCAGGTATGTTTACCAATGCAAATGGCTCCTATGAATCCATGTGAGCTAAACACAAAAATGTGAACTTCAGTAGTCCAAACTTCGATGTTTTTTACACAATTCAGTCAAAACTAAGGGACTTTATCATTAATTCTCATTAGAATTAACTGGCTAAAGATGCCATAAAAGGTACCATTACAGTAATTTCATTATTTTGAATTTATTATTATAATGAAGGAGGATTTTAACACCAAAAAAAATTAACAAAAAGAAAGAAAGAACTACATTACTTCTAAAACTACTCTGTCTTTCTTACAAATTTGGAGTAAATGGATGATTTAAACTTCAAGCTGTACTTCATTTTTCCTGCTAGTTCTCTTTTAATGAACACATAGATTTTAAATGGTGCACCCAGTTCTCCAGTGCAGAGAAGCTCCTATGCCACATATGATCAAATACTGTCCTGAAAAGACATATAACAGAATGTCCACTTGACCTTCCTGGAACATCATTGTTAAAAAAAAATGCTGAATAAAATCAATTGAGTTTTTCTTTTTATTTCGTAAAATGCTGAAATCTTCATTGGAAGTAATTGGGTACATGTGAACTGCAGTGAAAGATGAAAATATTCATTCTTGTAATCCATCTCCTGGCTTACAGACCAAGGCCTTCAGGGAGCACAACAAATCCACATCAACTTTCTAAACGTCAGTTTTTTGCTTTAACCTCTGGCTTAGCTATCAGATAAAAATCCTGCATAACCACTTAACTCCCCAGCAATTACATTAAAACAGATGCTGAAAAAGAATAATTTTGTTGAGGGAAAGTCATAATGAACTTAGACAAACATAAAGGTCTCTTCCATATCTACCTTTCCCCAGTTAATCAGAGCTTAGGCAATACCTTGCCAGTCACTGTAGAAGACATGTATTGCTCATTGTTGCTTGATGTTAATTTTACTTTGTTTGATCACATAAAGCCCTTTCTGGTCAGAGGTATGTACACTTATAAGTCACTTACAGATCTAAGGACAAAAAGTACTAGCTAAAAATGCTATCATCATCACCACTGGAAAGGATTCAGAAAATGTAAATCTTTCTGTTTGAGAGGAACTTAAAGTATGCACTGGGGCTGCAGAACATAGCTTTATATACTAATGTAAAACTGTTACTGAAAGTTTCAACACAGACCTAATGAAATCATTAGCACTGAGAAATCACACACCTATAATTTTGCAAATAATCCATACATTTTCTATCTTAGTAATTCTTAAATCAGAAAAATCTTACAGGAATCAGTCTCCAGAAATAAAGCTCTCAATTTTTCATATAGGTATCACAAGCAGTATTTATTTATGTATTCAAAAGTAATTTCTCTAACCAAGAGAAGGTAGTTTTGCACCTCCAAATTATAGCCCTGGACTGGAAAGTTATGAGATGACCCTAGAGCCTTGGTGTCATGAAAACCCCTAACAAAACTTCCCACAGGGCTCACAGCTCCACCAGCTCCTGGGGTTTGACTACAGCTGCCAGCACAAGTCAGGGTCCACAGTAGCCTGCTCTCCTTGCTGGAGTTTAGCAGTGGATAAACTAAACAGCCCCTTGTCCATATTGCTGCCCTAGCAAGGCTATAAAGCTGCATGTGCATTACTGACATGGTTGTTTCGCCCTATTCTGTTTCTACCAGCACATGGTACCATCTTTAATATAATGCTAAATTTGGAGTGATTTTCATACAGCACAGATTTAAAAAGTATGAGCAGTGAATTTCAAGCACTTCCACACAAATGGCAATGCAGTGTGAAAAACTATTCAGGTTTCTCACAGCCAGATAAACTGGAGATATTCCTCTGAGGAAAAGAAAAATGGAAAAAGAAAGCTAGAAAACAATGTCCCAAAGGAGCCCAGAAATCCCCATTTATCACCAGTTATACAATCATCCTTATTTCAAGGCAGTAGGTTGATTCACTGGAACATGTGAAATCACTGTATCTTGCAAGCTCTTACTGCCATCTTATGCCATTTTTTGTCATTGCACAACCCATGACATACTAAAAATTGGCCAAAAAAATGTTTTTTTACATATAGAGCTGCCTTTCACAAGTGTTTGTGATCCCATCAGTACATTATCATCTAGCCCTCATCTCTGCACCCCCAGTTCTGCAAGAAAATATTGAACACTGAATTGTCCTTGAAGTTGCTGAGAACTGAGAATCCCCAGTACCTTTGAGGATGGCACTAGAAAGGTTAATAAAAAAGGTCTTCCCTTCAAAACTATTTCTTCAGTAGCTCATTGCTGTTCAGATACAGGGCTTGACTCATTTTCACTGACTGGCTCCATGGTTCCCAGTACTGCTCAGAGATTATGAAATGAATGAAGAAAGGAGTGTAGTTTTCCTTCTGTTAAAAAAAAAAAGGCGGGGGGGTGGGGGAGGAGGGGGAAGAGATGCCTTTCAATTGGTGAAAACAGATTCATGGTATAGATCATTGGCACAAAAATAATTTATTTAAGTTGCTGATCGAAACAGCACTAAATGACAGAACACCAAAATGAGTCAGGCACAAGGAAAAATAATGGTCTATAATGAGCATTATATATATTTTATGCCACATAAACTCCATTTTTGTTACATGCATTGACTTCAACTGTTCCTACTTATTGCAATCCCATAGCACAGCTTTGCAAGACAACTAACATTTGTACTTATTTTTCAGTATGTGATACAATAACTCCTTTTTAATACACTTCAATGATCACCTTCAAGGACAGTACAGTCAAATGAGAGCTGCAAAATATTTCAATATTTGGCTTTCCCTAAAAATGTAGCAATTACCATATCTCAGTAATACATACACAGGAGAGTTATTTAATGTAGTAGGATCCTACTATTTAAAAGTAAAATTACCTTCTTCCATGCTCAGTTTCCTGAGAGACAATTATTACCCAAAAAAAAGACAAACTGATGTGATATTCTCCATTTTGGATTACACATCCAGCTCTGCTCTCCCCAGCATAGGAAGGACACTGACCTGTTGGAGAAAGACCAGAGGAGGGCTGTAGGGATAATCAGAGGGACAGAATACCTCTTTTTTGAAGAAAGGCTGAGATAATTTGCATTGCTCAGCCTGGAAAAGCCAAGGCTCCAGAAAGACCTCATTAGCAGTATCTTAAGGGGGTCTGTTGGAAAGCTGGAGTGGAACTTTTTACAAGGGTCTGTAAAGATAGGACAAGTGATAACGGCTTTAAACTGAGTTGGTTTGGATTGGATATTACGAAGAAATTTTTTACTGTGAGGATGGTGAGGCACCAGAACACAGAAGTCTCTTGAAAATATTCCGTCTCTAGAAGAGCTCAAGGCCAGGTTGGATGGGGCCCTGAAAAAACTGGCTTAGTGAAAGGTGTCCGTACCCGTGGCAGTGGGGTTGGACTACACAATATTTAAGGCCCCTTCAAACCCAGGCCATTCTATGATTCCATGATTGTGGCCCTGATATGACCCTCTGTTCTGGGGTACACTACAGTGTGGTGAAATCTGAAGTTATAGGTTGCAGCATTCTGCTTACTTGCAAAGATAAAAAGTAAAGAATCTAACCTTAAAATTCCCAAAACATGCCAGATTTGTATAAACAGAAGCATATGGTTGATCTTGCAATTATCTGTTTTCCTTAGTGTTTGTATGTGTCCCTGTGGTCTGTCTTTTTAAAGTTCTAATTCATCATTTCAGGTGCAAAATAGGGTCCCTCCTGTAAAATACAAATATTACAGTCATACATACTCAAGGTCATTCAAAATATTGGAGCTTTTATTTTTTCTCCACAGATCTGAACCTAATTAATTAAAGACCTTATTAAAGAGGAAGCGTAAATATAGAGTAAAATGGCACGGATTAACTTTTCTGAGAAAACAGGGTTAGGGTTTCCAGGGAAACATTTTCTGAGGAAGGACATAAATAAGAGGGTGGTAACACAGTGAATTTAGTCCTTGAGGGAACTCCAGAACAGAGAGTAAAATCTGTAAAAGGTAGAGAAGAAGATGAAAAACATGTCAGTTGGATTGAGTAGAGTGAGCAGGGAAATGGAGGGAAGCAAAACCCAGAGGACACAGACAAAATTCAGTCTTCAAAAGTGAGAATTTGAACTCTCACCAAGGAAAATCTGAGAGGTAACTAATGAACGTTTGCCAAAAACAGAGAAAGAATTTTTGTTGCCTTTTCCAGTAACTTCTAATGTGTGGGAATAAAAAAGTGTTGGCCCAAAAGTTAGGAAGACATTCATAACACCATTCTATTTACTCTCTTAAGGCTGTCACTGTGTCACTACCTGTTCTCTGTCTAACTTTCATCTACCTGAGTACATAAAAGCAAATGCAGCCTTATTCTGCCAGCTGCCCTGGTCGGTCTGAGCCTCCTATCTCTGCTACCACATTGCACCTAAACTCCTGCACACCATATTTCAGCTAATTTCTGAATCCTCACACCTCCCAAAGCAATTCTCACATCTCTTTCTTTCATCTACAGCTTGATCTTTGGATGTGTATATTTGAAAGAAGTATCTGTCACATGCAACTCTACAGGTTTATTGTTTATTAATTATTTCAGATCAATAGGCATAATTAACATTAATCTTAAAGTCATTATGAAGATCCATAACAAAACCAAAGTTACATCTTATTGCAAATATTTAAAAGATGTGAGGCCATGTACTCTTTTGTTTTTTCCTCTCAGAAAAGGTGAAGATCACCCAATGACTGGCCTAGATTTAATGCCACTAGCTCTTTACTTCTTCATCCACCAACTGTGCAATAGCAAGATCTCTTCTAAATTGATACCTTGGACTAAGACTAAGGAAAGGAAATCTTCAGTCTGTGTGCATCAAAATATGGATTTCTTCGATTCAGGAGATTCAAAATTTGGGGTAGTACCTGGGTAATTTAATTAAAGTCAAAATTTGTTGCATCCCATAATCAATCTTGTGCTTCAAGACATGAAACTAACCTTCCCTGCAGAAAAAAAAAGTTGTTTTTTCTCTGTGACACAGTAATGTGACAGTGGGATAGGCTCAGTATAGTTAATTAGATAATATATAAGGAAAGAACAATTCTTAATTTTTTTTTTTAGAAGTATTTCCTAATTCAAGCTTGAATAAACAAATCTAAGTATTGATTTTTAAAAGACCTATTTTCTATTGTGTCATTTGCATTACATTAAAAGACTTATGAATGAGCAGACAAATTCTACAAATAGGACTGATAAATGATGACCTGGGGAAAAAACAGCCCTGGGTCCAGACCATTCAAACTTTAAGGCTTGTTGGCAAATCAGACTATACCTATCAGCAAAGAACAGGGCCTAGGAACTGAGTCCCAGAAAGAAATCTATTTGGGATAAAAACTCCTTCCCTTTGCATTTCAAAGCTGGGACCAAGGTCTCTGCAACTGGTTGTGAGAGAGGGAAGTCACAGAAATGGTGCAGAAGGAATTTTGCTTTATATTAAGGACCTCTGCTTGTGCAGAGGGAGACTATGAACTACAGCGTCTCTTCCTTAATGCTGATTATAATTAAGTGCTGAATCAGTGCATTCCTTGAATCAAAAAGACGTGCAAACATGAGATGGTGAGGACAGATAAGGATGTGGAAAAAATCAGTAATATCAGAGGTTCTTTTTAGAAGTGGGTAGCCTAAAATCTGCCAAGGGCTGCTTGGAAAAGAATAGACTTGTTAATTCCCAACCTCTTCTAGCCTGCATTTTCTACAGGTGGTGTATAATTTTATCCTCTTTTATCAATCAGAATAATTAATCAATAAAGATCTGCCCAAGAAAATCAAGAGGCACTCCATAACATGAAATCTTTACATCAAGACAGCAGAGTCCTCAAAAGGTTTGGTAAATTTACTTCTAAACTTTTGAAAGCTGTGTGACCTTTTACCGAGGTCAGAACACAGGAGTTTTGCTCTTAAAATCCAACACTGCATAATTCTCCCCAATTGTATGGCTGCCTCCACAAAGCTTCTTTAATGTGTTCCTGCTGAACATATAATTGCTGTAACTGTCAGGTTCTCGGTGGTGAAATTACCAAGATGTATTGCCTTGCTAAAAAGGAGTATTTGTGGAAAATTAATACCCAGATGTTTAGCAGCGCTTTTATATGAGAAACATACATGTCTGTTTATTCACAGTTATCATGAGCTTCTAAGAAAACATGAATTTATAGACTGGAGAAAATATATGTTCTTTCCTTTAAAACTTACAAAAGCTAAGATAACATTTTAAATAAATTGTATTAAAATTATTAGGCATGTAAATTTTAATTTACTATAAAAGAGTTTAGTATAAGCCAGTATCTTAAAATTACGTTGTAATTACTACATTCTCTAAGACTGTCTTCAAGTTATGATTTTATTTATCATTTATTTTTAAATATTATTTTTATTATTATTATAATTATATTTTTTTTTAATATTACACACATATTTTTAGCAAAGTTTTATTGCTTACAGAGAATAATTCCTACAAATGCAATGCTGAAGACCACTCCAAGGAGCCACTTAGCCTTTCTGTAGTGTTCATGCCCTTGAACATTGACTGTGACTTTTCACAAATTTAGCTGCTGTTGAGCACAGAACGTAAGACATTTCATAGATGTCTACCAGAGACAAAACATTTAAATCTTAGTTCTACTAGTCTCAAACCTAACTTTCCCTCTGACAGCAGTATAAATATCAGTATGTTCCATGATTTAGGGCTTCATTCAGTCATGACTGAAGACAACAAGTCTCTTAACTGATTTTAGTAGCAATTGTATTAAGTCCTTTACAGTTTTGCAGAAATGAACAAGAATGACGTAATTACTTCTTTTTTGTACTGTGAGCTTTCAATCAGTAGATTAAATCAACACCAACAGCTAACTACAATTATAGGACAAGAAAACTGCTCACATGCTATGTTAAAGTTCACTTTGAAAAGCAGAGTAAAGAAATCGCCACTTGTATTAATAAGACCAATTTAAAACCAGAAAAAAAGTCAAATTACATCTGCACTCAGCCTGAGACAGTAGCTTTGCATGGAGTTACGTCCAGAACAAATTATCTTGTCAAACTACTACTTAGGAGGAAGTCTGTTTAAAGTAAAGTAAAAATGTGATGAATCTGTTCATATTTTCCAGCAATACTGGAAAATTTTCCAGATACTTCCTCTACTCTGCAAATTCTGGAGCATATTTTCCAGCAAGTGACATCCAGAGCAGAGACACACTGACTGACATCCTCAGCTACAGAAATCATTTACAGCCCTTGGAAATTCTGGAGGCAGAGCCAAAGTGAGAGGACTGCAGGCATTTCCCTTTCTCTGTAAACCTAGGATGTTCCTCTCAAACCTTGGCAAATCTGTTTTTCTTATTAGTCCATGAGGCGAAAAAAGCCCTCAGAGGAAACACATTTCCTTAATACAGGAGATTTTACAGAAATTGTCTAAATTCTACATTGGCTCCATCTTATCCAGTTAATGTTGATCTTGAAAATAAAACACCAACAGGGACAGAACTACTAGCATTGGTCTGATTTTCTTCCATGTTTCTTCTTAAAAGATAAAAGATACTCAAGGAAAAGTTTACGGCTCCCTGGTGTTTGTTATTTGGAATTCAGTAATTTAGAATTCTGACAAAATAATTTTAAATTTTGAAGCAGTATTTTCCATTTGTTTGGATTTTACCTTCACAATTTTGAGTTTCATATGATTCTGAATAGGTAACAAAACAGGCTTATGGGGGATATTTATTTGCCCTACAGAGCGATTATCAGTGCCATGTAAGAAGTGAGTGACAGACTGATTTCGCAAGAAAACACGGCAAGGAATAACCAAGTATACATAAATATGGCACAGAGCCTCTGCTCATTAAATGTTTTGCAGCACACTAAGTCAGGAGCTGAGACACATGACAACAGAAAGACATCAGTCAACATCGCTACTGCAAATTGTCCTTTCACAAAAACAGCATTTGGCAGCAGCTGTAACAGAGATTTCCTCATCACACACACTCTAAACCTTAAAAGTCTTACCTCTAAACAAACTAAACAAATCCAGATCCATTGCTAAAAGTCATAAGCAATGTAGCACTTCACTGCTACCATACAGAAATAGATCCAAACATAAAACCATCTGTTTCCAAAGGAAAAAAAACAAATCCCACACACAGTTTAGCATGGCTCTATTTCTTCAGTCTGTGGTTAAGCTTTCAATTTCTTAATTCAATGATAAGTTAGCAGAATGATATCCACAATTAAATTAGCTTTTCCAACTCTAAAACAATGGGTTAATCCATCATATTCAAAAGACGCCTCCTACTCAAAATGTAAGTCAGGAAAAGCTTATTATCTGTAGATTTGGCTCTGTATTCAAATTCTGAGTGGCAGACTCTCAATACACTTAAACTTGAGCTTTGCAATGTGCCTTTAAAGAGTGCAAAGCAAAAATGTGGCTATAGTAATCAAACAATCCCTGGTGTATGATGTTCTTATAGTGCATACTAACCACTCAGTCACATTTGACCTTGTTTCACAGAAAGGTCTTTTTCCATAGATTAGTTTGCATTTCAGGTAATTTTATATCTGGTCTTAGAAAGATCTTCTGGGATTCAGCCAATTAAGCTCTTAAATATGGTACCTTTATGTAATATTTCTACAAGACACACTGTGTTCCTCAAAATTTAAAAATCACACAGCACTGAATTTTAAAGTGTGTAATACCTATGAGATTTCATTGCACATCTATATTCATTGCAATATTATCTAGTATTGAGCATAAATACTGCAACAGATTTTGTTTGCTATGGGCTGTCTCATAAAAAGGCAAATCACTTTTAATCAATGGTTAAATCAGAGTTATCTTGAACATGGAAAAAAAAAATTGAGAGTACACAATTTGGTTTCATTACATTATCCAAGAGTTCTTTAAAAGCTTTATTAATGATTACTTGATAAGCACGATTCAATACTTAGAGTATGTCGATTGATACTGTTACATATTTAAGTAATTCCTCTACAAACATCTTGGCTAAACAAAAAAAAAAAAAAAAAAGTAAGTAGAAGTGTGACAGACTACTTACAAAAGCATTTAACTCTGTTTAATGAAAGATTTCTGAGGAATATACATTTATAATTTCCTCTGTACTCATTTTCCTTTTTGTATTTTGTTTCTTAAGGCCAGCAGTGCCCAGAATTTATTCATGCAAGCTCTCAAATTGATTTATATTAAGTGACTAGGCAATGATATTTTTGGATTCTGTTACAAGACTTCATCTTGTCATGTAACTTTGATCAAAGTCACTTGCACTCAAAGTTTTAGGAGTCTCTGCTTCTGGTTGCTCCTGCTGAGAAACATGAAGTGTCATCTCCAGAGGTAATGAATACCTAAGAGGTTCAATCTGTTTCATTTGAAGCTTTAAGTGTTCAGCAAATATGGAGAGAAAACCAGATTCAAAGGCAGAAGACTCCAGTACTCATGAAGCAGGCAGAAGTCACTGACACCTCTTAAGGCAATTGTGATATTAATGATGAGAAAGGAAATTTGTAGAAGAAGCTGTCTAATGACAGGACATGAAGCACACACCAAGCAGAGTAACGAAGGGGGAAAAAGACAGAGATTCAACACCCTCAATATTTCTGCTTCCTGACATCTCCAGGGAATCTTCATTTGAGTGTTAAAATCAGATCTTGAGGTCTTTGCATGTCATGTTTTTATCTAGGAGGAGAGTATAACAATATTTATCTGTATCACGTAACACAGACTTTCCAACATTTGCAATATGAATTTTGAAGGCTGCAAGACCTTGTATAAACATACAGTACCATTGCAGCCTCTGTGCTAGATTACAGATTTCAGGTAATCAAAACACAAGGTAACACACACATGTAAATAGCAATGACATATCCAGAGTCCTTCCCAAAAATCCTCATACAAACAAGACCAGACACACAGAGCTCATCACTGAGCTACTCATTTCAGACACTCCAACCAGCTGAAGAACTAGGCTGAGAAACATCTCATGAAGTTCAGCAAGGGGAAGCACCAAAACCTGCATCTGGGGAGGAACAATGCTGTGCACCAGTGCACACTGGGGCTTCACTGGCCGGAAGGCAGAAAGGGACAACAGGCAGATCCTGGACCCGCCACGATAAAAAAGCAGGCCAGCTGCACCCTGCTCTGGATTAGGGGAAGCGTTTCCAGCAGGTCAAGGGAAGTGATTTTTTCCCCCTTGCTCAGCACTGGTGAGGCACACCTGGAGTGTTTTCTGGATTCCCCAAAACAAGGAAGATATAGACATACTAAAAAAAGTGCAGCAAAAGGCCATGAACATGATGAAGGGACTGGTGCATCTCTCTTACTAGGAAGGGCTGACAGAGGTGGAACTACAGCCTAGAGAAAGATCGGGGAGCACTTACAAGTCTATACATAGATGCCTGATAGATGGAAGACAAGAAGCCAGGCTGCCTTCAGTGTTGCCCTGTGGCAGGACACAGCGGACACAGATTAAAACACACGACACCCCAGGTGAACACAAAAACCCTCTCTTTTTACTCTGAGTATGGTCAGACTTGAGTTGCTCAGAGAGGTTCTGGAGTTTCCAGCCTCTGAAATATTAAAAATTCAACTGGACATGGACCTAGGCAACCTGCTCTGGCTGACCCTGCTTGGGCCGGGGCATGAATCTTGTTCTCTTGTCCTGTGCTTAGCCACTTCCACGGCTGGGTGCCTCCCTCAGCGACGGCAGAGGGACTTCCCAGGGAACAGGATAGGAGGACAAAGTCTTAAACTGCAGCAGGGAGCTTTAGGTTGGACATTAGGAAGAACTTCTTCACAGAAAGGGTGATTATTATTCAGAAGGGAGTGTCCAGAGAGATGGGGGAGTCACCGTCCCGGGAGTTGTTTTAGGGAAGACTCTGTGCCATGGTTTAGTTGACATGGTTGTGTCCGGTCACAGGTTGCACTCGATAAACCCAGAGCTCTTTTCCAACCTTAAGGACGCCGTGACGATGCCGACCCCGGCGGGAGCGG